AGACCTAATCATCCCACACCAGCAGCACACAAGGTTTTAGGGAAAAGAAAAAAATTAAAAAAGGAAAAATGAAAAGATATGGACATAGATGAAAAATTAGATCAAAGGAAACATAGGTTTACCAAAGGTAGATCACACCAGGCTATCTTGATCTCTCCTTTATAACTCTTTTTCTCCTGGCATAAAATGCCGGTGGAAGGAAACACATTCAGTGCTGTGCCACAGGAGATGGAGGAAATGGGGATAAATGCAAGAATTATAAGGGAGGTAAGGCCTGAATAAAGGAAAATGACAATGGGTAGTGCTGAAAGGAGAAATATCTGGCTGAAAGGTTATTAATTAAATCCCTCAAGTGTTGGTCTTGAGACTGGTCTCATTTAATCCTGTTTAATAGTTGCAAGAGTGACCTTGACACCAATATTAAGAATGTGCTGGTGAAATCTGCTAACAACACCGACTTTGAAGGAACCATCAATGTGGAGGAGGACCGAAGTATCAGACAAAAATTTTGGGTGACCTTGAGGACTGGAGTAATAGAAATAGGATGAAATTTAATAGCGGAAAGTGTAGTCATGAACTGAAGGAATTTTCCTCATAAGGTTTGTCCTCCAGGCCCGTAACCATTCTTGTGGCCCTTCTCTTGAAAGGGTCCAGAGAAGGGCCACGAGAATGATGAAGGGCCTGGAGGACAAACCTTATGAGGAAAGACTAAGGGATGTGGGACTTTCAGCCTGGGGAAGAGAAGACAAGGGGGGGGACTTGGTGGCCGTCTAGAAGTATGTAAGGGGTGAATATCGGGAGCTGGGAGAAAAAACTGTTCACTGGGGCACCCCAGGGGAGGAGACAAGGAGCAATGGCCACAAACTGTCAGAGGATGGTTTCAGGTTGGATGCAAGGAAGAATTTCTTTACGGTAAGGGTGACCGAAACCTGGAATAGACTTCCCAAGGAGGGGATGCAGTCCCCAACCTTGGAAGTCTTCAAGAGGAGACTGGACAGACATTGTGCTGGGATCATTTGATCTCAGCAGTATTCCTGCCCAGAGCAGGGAGTTAGACTTGATGATCTTTCGAGGTCCCTTCCAGCCCTTCATTTCCATGATTTCTACTATACACTGAGTGCTCATCAGCTAAAAAAAAGTGGGGGGAAAAGAGCTGGGGTATTGCTCAAGCACAGGATGATTTTGAGCAACTAATGGGATACACCCATGAAAAAATAAGTAAAATCCTAGAATTCATCAGAAGAGGTAAAGATACCAAGTACTGATGTCATTGTACAAGGCACTGATGAGACCTTACCTGAAATACTACATACACTTCCAGCCACTTGCCTGAAGAAAGATGAATTCAAAAGGTGCAGAGCAGGGATACTCGCATGCAAGTGGAATGGAGAACTATCCTGGGGGAGGAGAGAAAAAGAGCTTGGCTTGTTCAGTATAGCAAAACAAAAGCTAGGCGAGATTCATAGCTTCACAGATCGTGGAGTCGGACGGGACCACAATGGATCATCGTGTCCGACCCCCTGCCCCTGGCAGGAAAGACGACCGAGGTCAGACGACCCCAGCCAGGTGACTGTCAACCTCCTCTTGAAGACCTCCAAGCTAGGTGACAGCACCACCTCTTTTGGAAGCCCGTTCCAGGCTCTGGCCACCCTTATTGTAAAAGATGTCTTCCTAATGTCTAACTGAAATCTACTCTCCACTAGTTTGCACCCATTATTCCTAGTTACCCCCCTGAGGCGCTCTGGTAAACAGCGCATCCCCAATTCCCTGCTGTCCTCCCCTGATAAATTTTATAGGCGGCCCTAAGGTCACCCCTCAGCCATCTTTTGTACAGGCTGAAGAGATCCAGATCTCTCAACCTCTCCTCGTACGGTCTTTTACAGAGACCTCTAATCATGCGGGTGACCTTCCTCTGAACCCTTTCCAAATCCTCCGTGTCCCTCTTGAAGTGCGGTGCCCAAAACCGGACACAGTACTCCAACTGCAGCCTGACTAGTGCCGCACAGAGGGGGAGCAGCACCTCCCTTGATCTGTTGGTCATGCCTCTGCTAATGCACGACAGGGTGTGATTGGCTTTGTTGATGGCCTCGTTACACTGCCGGCTCATGTTGATCTTGGAGTGGACCATGACTCCAAGATCTCTCTCAGCCTCTGAGCTGCTGTAGAGGTCATCCATCCCCCAACCTGCAGGTGTGCTGGGGATTCCTCCTCCCCAGGTGGAGTACCTTACATTTGTCTTTGTTGAATTGCATCCTATTATGTTCTGCCCATTGATCTAACCTGTCCAGGTCGGCCTGCAACTGCTCCCTGCCCGCTGGTGTATTAACTTTGCCCCATAACTTGGTATCATCTGCAAACTTGGAGAGGGTGCTCAACACACCCTTGTCCAAATCACTGATGAAGATATTAAGTAATACTGGCCCAAGGAACGAACCCTGTGAGACCCCACTGCCCACCTCTGCTGCCTGGAAACACACTGGGGAGGTAAAGTCTAGGGCAGGAAAAGAAGTATTGTTGCTAAGGGAAACAACTGACAGAAAAACAAATGGGCATGAAATGGTCAAGAATAACTTTAGGATGGAAATGAGAAGCGGGCTCCTGACTAACTGAGCAAAGAGGTTCTGGAGCAATAAACCAGCAGAAGCAGTAAGGGTGGGAAATTTAACTTGTCTTCAAGATGGAGCCCGATCAGTTTATGAAAGAGCTCTCAGATGGTTGCTAGCCATAGCAGCAAACTGGGTTTTAGGACTCAGAAGGTTGACTCCAGTCCAGCAGCCTGAACAACAAATCACATTAAACGCAAAGTTAAACAAAGAAGGAGTTTTCTTAAGATAAAATTTACCGAATACTGTGCTAGACACCTTTGGAAGGACAGCAATTTCTTTATATTTATGAAAATATATAATGAGTATTTTGCCAAAATGTGCTAATACTAGATCTTCCCCTCACTTAAGTACTTTTCCTGTTCATACTATACTCATTACCCTCTAAAAATAACTGCAGATTTTTCACACATCTAAACAGAGCCACATGCCAACACACAAAATAAGAAGGATGCAAAAATGTACGGTATGCAAGTCCCTATACATGAGTGGAATTACTGGTACAAAACAAAGGTCTAAACGTTTCCACAGCACGACCACAGAGAGGATACAGGGGAAAAACAAGCAAACAAGCAAAAAAAATTAGGTGCACCTGTAGCCTTGGCCAGTAACACTAATGAAGTAAAATTACTGAACTTCTGAGCTCCAGCAACCATCCATTCATTGTCACCCTGATCGATAATCATTAGATCTTTACACAGTGCTTTGTCAAGAGAATTATATCCACGCTAACATCTTCACTCTAAATTACTACACATATCTAAGCAACAAGCTCCCTCAGTGAAACCTGCTCCTGTGATTCAAGCAGTACAGCGTGCCACAAAAGGCTAGCTGATGATCTGGTGCATGCTGGAAGGGGCACTGATTTTGTTCGGGAAGTTTCCATAACACAAGGTAGAAGAACTAAGCTTTAAAATGGGGTGCAGATCCCTGCAAAACTAATTCAGCACACAGACTTGAGAGAAGTCATACTGTACTGATCCCACTCTGCACAAGTCCTTTCAGAACAGTACTGGGCAGGATTTTCTCTAGTATTGGTTAGAGAGATGCTAATAATTACTCCATAATTGCTGTTATGGAGTAAGGCACCACATGGTATGAGCTGGAGTGCAACAGTCTGGCAATGAGAGCTAGGATTAGAATGTAAAGCTCTTGATTCCTAGCTTCATTACCAGATGATGAAAGCATGCTGTCCACACTACAGGGTTACTAGTAAGACCTGGTGCAAATAAAAACTATTTTTCTTCATTATCCTGCAAAGTCACAGTATAAAGCATTTTCTTCAAGGAAAAAAAAAACACTAAGGATTTTCAAGGGGCTCTGAAAATCAAGTTAGATGTGCCTAAGTCTCCAGGCCAGTCATTCCCTAGCTACTGATATGCATGTAGGCATTTTTAGGTCAGCAGCAACTTAGTCTTACCAAAGCTTGTGTTAAAATGTCAGAACCACCCTGTGTCCCCAAAAACCTAATAAGAGACCCCAGTGATGAAGCACAAGGACTCCTACAGGACATGCACAGGATTTAAGTGAAATCTTACAGCCAGCTTGCAAATTCAGAAAATTACTGAATGCACACATTTTAAGTGTGAGGAATTTATTACTTGAATGCAGTCAAAGACAAGCCTGGTAGGCCTATCTGGCAACCAGGAAACTGGCCAACATGCCAAGTAGCCAGCAATTCTGGCAATCACAGTCTAGCTGCTGGCATCGGGAAAGGTCCTGCTGCCTTGGGGAGCTTCAGATGCAATGGCTTTTGCCAAAGGTCTCCAGTGGAGGCCAAACCCAGCCCTTCTGTCTTCAACATAGGTTTCCTAAGTGGGCTCAACCTACAGCACAGCACTCAAGGATCCTGAGACTCAGAGACCCCTGGGACAGCAGAACCTTGCCCCTCAATTCCCAACAGAGCTGCGCAGTTAGGACTGTACTGTGCAACAGGCCCTGCTTCACCTACAGCCCAGAGGAGGTGATAAGTGCTGCAAGTAGCTGTCAGACAGCTGCTGAGTTGATTAACTGCTTCTGCCAGGACTCCTGAATGACAATGCAGCCAGACTCAATCAGGTGCTAACAGAGAAGCACACATGGCAGGTGCTCCAAAACAAACTAGTAGCCACCCTTGATTCATTGTAAGCAGCACCTTCATATAGAAATTAATAGGAGTTGGCAAGTGGCTTGCGCCATTTGCACAATATAAAAGGCTGGCCGTGTTATCTGCAGCCAATTTAAAGTGACTTGCACAAAATGTACAGTTCTTGATTAAAAATTAGGTTTGTGTTAATTTTAACGATGTGTGTAATGCATCTCCATTTCCTGGCCGCTGGACACTAGCTATATTATACCATTACTTGACATGTACTTATAAAATGCAGGTGCAGAAGAGAAAGGGCAAACTCTACTTACCGCTAGAAGCTTGTCTCCAATCTGAAGTTTGCCATCTTTATGTGCGGCACCTCCTTCAATAATTTTAGTTACGTAGATGCTGTTGTCTCCAGGAATATGCTGGTTTCCAACGCCACCAGCTATACTGAACCCAAGACCTGCTTGAAAATAAAATTCTTTTTCCAGAAAACCTTTAAAACTTTTAACATTGTGTGTTAATCACAATATAAAAGTTGCAACCATTTTTGAAAGATATGCATAGCTCAGCTACAGTACTTTTAATTCAACCCACCTCTTCCACTTTAAAGAACTTTTTTAGTATCTTTTAAAATCTCCAAATATTGAAACAAAGCAGAAGAGTCTCTCTAAATAGATTTCATATGAAAAGTTTAGTCCAGTACTATGAGTGATATATTCCTCTTGAAAGTTACTATATTATTAAGGTAATAATTTAACTTTAATGAAGCAAGGTATGTACTAATTGTATTTAAAATATACCTGTCTTTTGTATTACTGTCTGCTGCTGCTAAACCATGAGGGGGACACTGTACCACAGCAATAAGGTGTCTCAGGGTGATTCTGTATCACCCTGCTGAAGTCCCGGAAAAACTTAAAATAGAAGGTAAGTGGGCCCTGCTCTTCCTTGCTGCAATTTTTGTGACCGTCTTAGGGCAAAGCAAACAGCATATTGCAAAAATAGGCGCAATTATTGATTTTCAGGGACCTGGGATGGAACAGGACTGCAATTAGGCATCTACCAGAGAATATGAGCCAACCCTGAGTGTTCAATTAAGAACCTAGCCTTCATTGTTGTGCCCACTGCTTAATTTTGGAAAAAAAATGACTAGAACCTCTTGGCACTTTTGTCTTTTTTGGAAGAAAACAGATTGATACTTCCACATACCTTTGGGACCTTTCACAAGCTTTATCTCCACTATTTTTTCTGTAACTGGCTTTCTTCTTTTGACATACAATCGTACAATGGACCCTGCCTCCTTTAAAGCTTCAACCGCTTTGCTGTGCGTCACATCACGAACATCCACTTCATTTACTCGTAGTATACAATCATTGACCCTGAGAACAACAAGTCTTGCATTTAACAGAGGTATTATATATAGTGAACTAAGCACAGCAGTGGTGGTCCAGTAGCATCTGAACTGGATGACACTATGAATTAACACAATGGAGGTCCAATGCATAATGTATTTTTGAAAAATATATGAAGCATATATATTCTTTAATAACAAATCGTACTGGAAATGCAATCTGCAAGATAATTAAGAGTGAAAAGACCATTTAAATGGAAGAATATTTTGTTTATAACTAATAACCCATCTTGTGAAAAACTTTTAGATTAATAAATATTTTAATGCTTTAATTAGTATGTTAGGTATTCTGTGATATTCTGTAATATTGCAGTCAGAACGTAAAACAAATTGTTTTTGTTTTTTTACAAAAACCGAACGTCAGTAATGGAATTACCATCCACACGAGATGCACAGGCCAAGATGCAGCTCGTTTTAACCTGTTACTTTTGCAAATGTAACCTCTGCTCTGCTATGAAATCCTGCCGTACTCCTAGCAAACTGATTATAAAACTGCTGGCCTTCCACTCCATTTAATGTGATGCTGATGCTACCCCAATTGATGTGCTTGGCCTGATTGCCAGCAAGTTCTGCTAGCAACGTACTTAGTACACGAAAAAAAATTAAAAACATCAGGCCTGACATGTTTGCTATCCATCATCCTGCATGGGTTTCAGTCCTCCATCTGCCCACACTGTACCTTGTTCAGCCAGCTATTTCAAGGAATACTTTCATCTGAAATAAAACCTGAGTTCAGGTGCAGTGCAGCCGAGGGACTGGAGTTAGCAACAAGCGTGACTTCCTCCTCCACAGAACCAAAGCTCAGAGATGCTCAAGGCCCGTGCCAGGAGATCTGCTGCACTGCCTCTGTCTGTAAGCCCCGCACGCTGCGGGGGTGGGAAGGGAAAAGTAAGTGACAGCTGGTTCACTGCCCTTGAGGATGCCCAGTCAAACCCGGTCGGGGCTGAGAACCTGTCCGATAGCAGCGATAAACTTTAAATAAGGGCCTGCATACTACAGGTGCACCAATATATTGGTTCATATCATATTGGCACTAATAAAAGCAAAGTAACATTATTGGCAATCGGCTTTTTTTGGCTGATGTAGCTGCTAACGTTGACAATAAATGCTGCGTGAACGTGTGCAGCCACACAGCTTGGAGAGCAGCGTCTGGCTGGTAAGTCTGTGGGGGAAAAGGGGCAGGAGGGGGGCAGATCGAGGCCCCCACAGTGAGGGAGTCGGGCTTGGGGCTGGGGCAAGTGACAGAACCGCGAGTGGCTCATCCGGGGGCATGGGAGAGGGAGGGGCTCTCACTGCTGGTGCATCCTGGGGGAGGCACAGGGCAAGGGCAGGCTGCCACTGCGAGCTGGGGCCGGGGGGGCGGAAGGCGCTTCCCAGCAAAAGGGCTGGGCTGGGGCTGCGCCTGCGCATGAGGCAGGCGGTGGTAGTGCTGGAAAGGGGAGTTTGGGGGTAGCTATGGCGAATGCTGGGGTTGCCACAGCCCACCCGATAGGCCCCCCTCCCAGCGCCGCTGGCCCGAGTGCAGCCCCAGCTCAGCCCCTGCACTGGGAAGAAGGCAGTACCGTTCCAGGCCCCAGCCCACAGCGGCAGCCCACCCTCTCCCCATGCACAAATGAAAGGTCATATGCCCCCCTGTGCCTTCCCCGGGGTGCAGCAGGAGCCGCCCCTACCCTACCCCCCCAGACAAGCCACTCGTGACTCTGTCCTGCATGTCAGCCCCCAGCCCTCCCGCACAGCTGGGCACAGCCTGCCCCTTCTCCCGCCCCACTCCCTCCCTCACCATAGGGGTCTCGATGGCTCGTTAATGGCTTTTCCCCACAGACTCACCAGTCGGACGCTGCTCTCCAAGCTGTCGGGATGCACATCAGCAATCGGATTGATATTGGCTGATATGGCTCATTAATAATCTGCCATCGGTATCAGCCCAAAAAATCTTTATCGGTGCACCGCTACCACATACTGTTACCGATCCTTCTGCATTAAGGAAGCTAGAACTATTGGCAAAGCATGTTTACACAACACAACTGAGTAGACTGAATTCAAAGTTGGAGAACTTAATTCAAAATTAAAAATATATACATATCAAGGCACTTGGTTTAAATGCATGGTTTATATTATACACAAAATAAATTCTTCACTAATAGTGCAGTACAGTTTTTAAGTTCTACACTACTAAAAGAAATAGAAATTTTAAAAATGTTTTGCTTACTGCCATTAAAAGGGAATGAAAATTTAGCAGCCTGGGTTTTTTTTTTGTTTGTTTGTTTTTTTTACATTTAACATACCGTAATCTTCCATCCTGGGCAGCTGCACCCCCAGCTATGATTTTTGTAATGAAAATACTTGAGTCATCTCCAATGTGCGGGTTGTCCGTACCGCCTGCAATGCTGAAGCCAAGCCCTGAATTTCCCTAGGGGAGGTGAGAGAGAGAGAAAAAAAAAGTTATTTTTGGAAAAGAGTTCCTGCCATACTGTAGAATCCAACTTGGTTTATTAGCGCAGGAACAAGTCCGACTGCACCAGTGTCCTTGTTTACAACAGCTAACCAATGAGAGCAACAGACAGCACCGTCTTGCCCCAGAGCTGACCACTGACGAGGATCTTTACACACACAGCATGTGGAGCTCGTGAGGCACTGCATGCACACGTACTCCAGCTCCATGAACACCAGCACTTCATTAACAACTGGATTCACCAGTTCAACACTGTGAGCCTCCCAGTCAGCAAAGAGTGCACAGCACTGCCGCTACCTAGGGATCAGCCTGGACTTACTGCATCATTCACAAACAGACAGCAGTCTCCTCTGCTAATGCTATGGCATTAAGTAAAATGCTGATTTATGGAAGAAAACTGGGATTTATAAGGAAGACAAGCAAACTTTTTTTCTAGTTGAAGAAAGCTCGCAGGGTAACAAAAATCTAGGAACCCCGAGCATGAAAGCTGCATACACATTGCTCTAATAGAAAAAACGGATATCTGCATACATTTGCTCTAACACCAACATGTAGGGATCCATCAGAGCAATGAGCATGGCAACTGTAGTGCCCTTTTTATGTCTGAGGTTTCTGGATGTTTGTTATGTACCTGAATTCTCCACAGTGCTCAGCTGGCCCCAGGAATTTCAAAAACAAACTATAATAAAATAAATGATAAATGATGCAGCTAGTAACGAACTAAGAACAATAAAGCAATTTCTTGTGTAACTGTTTAACAGGAACTGATATTATAATCACAAGGCTAATATATATATATATATATATATTGAAATATTACCCTTATGATTGTAATATCAGTCTCAGCTATATATAATCACAGTATGAAACCTCTTGCTGAACAAAGTTTATGGAAGCATATTTACCCTTTCAAGCGTGATTTCTTCATATTCATAATCTGCATCTGTGCCATTGACCTAAATAAAAAGAGGGAAAAAATGTTCTGTGGAGTCCATATAACACAAAAAACCTGGTATCCTTATGCTGTGCTCCTGTCTCTTCAAAGGTAAAGGAAATTGTCATGTATGCTTGGAATAAGCCCTTTATTCCCGGTCCCCTCTGTTCTAATCATGAGGCAATGTATAATAAATCCACTTGAAGTTTAATATCAGGGAAGGCTGGTTTAGCTTTAATACAGGCATTTCCATATGCAAATTAAATGTCGGATTTAACTTGCATACGGAAGATTTTTATTGTAATCTTCTTTTATGACTCAACAAAAAAAAAATTTCTAGACATGTACCAATTTACATGTTAAATCTGAAGAGAGGCTAAAAGCATAATTCTTGCAATTGTACTTATTCCTGCTAAGCACTAGGAGAAAAATGGCTAATAAAAAGTAATCTGTTTAAACTTTTACTGAACATTCACGTAGTATTGGTCACGGCTGCTATAGTCTACAAAACCTCAATAAAAAATAAGAAACAGCAAGACTGAAGACACTATATGGTAAATTACAGTCTAAATACTACTTCAGCGTTTATTACAGAATTTGGTGCAATATATTTCTTCTTCAGAAAATCAACTGTGGTTACCGAGACAACTCCCCTGCCTCAAGGTCAGAAAGAAGTTTCATTCTCAAATCTCAATGCCGCCTAAAACGCCAATGATTTTTTGATCAGTAATAGAATCTAGAAATGTCTAGTTCAGATGCAAATAACAAAACTCAGACGAGGACAAATTTAACTTAGATACGGAAATGGAATTTATATTAAGATGTTGGTCAACTGATAAGACAGAAATTTTCCAACGGGAAATCTTTGCCTCTAAACATAGCTGGGGTAGCAAGTATATCGTTTCAATGCAGGAGAGAATAACTTCCTTGGTTTCTGATCCTTTATTTCAAGTGTTGGATGAGCAGATATTTAACAGGCAAGGAAACAAAAACGTCCACACAGATGTTGTAGCTGCACCGTGCCATACTGATTTCACAATCTTTAATATCCAGCAAGCTTCTATACACTCCAGTCTTGGGCACTGCTGCAAATTAATTTAAACGTAATAAGCACATGCAGATCATTTCAGATAGCGTGAAAGAAAGTCTGCATATCCATGCAATTTCCCGGAACAGTACAATGCATTTACAAAACTGCTCCTACTTCTATCTGCAAACTACTGTATAGATGTACAATTTTAGTCTGTTCAACTGAAAATTGATACTGTATAATTTTTAGTCCTTCAATTGAAAATGGATACTGTATTTTTAATGTGATATTCTTCCATAAAACAAGAAAAGGTCTTGACCTCATGAATACATGAAACTTTATCTCGCACAAGCCAGCACCATAGAGGCTGCTATATCTGAGATTAGTTTTATGTTAACTTAGTCCTTAAGCTATTAGCTACCAAAAGGACAGCATGTGGTAACTGAAACAGTCATCTAGCATTACAGCACTTGAAAATGATTCATGATGACTGATCAGCACACTTCTTTAGTGTAGTGAGAGCACTTCACCATTTTACTATTCAAAACCCTCAGGTAACAGACTCTAGGGAACCTGCAAAAAGAAACAGAAGAGAATATTTTATCTAAATTAGGAAAGAAACAGGCTATTTCAATTTTAAATTAGAAAAAGCTGAAGCAAGATAGATGTGATGCTGCTTGTACCCATTTTGTCCCAGCTTAGTTTTCCATTTCCTTCTACCATTTGTTTTAAATTTGCCTTTGAGCTTATTTGTATCCAAGGGAGGCAATCAACTCCCTTAGGTGGCAAAGGCATCTGTGCGAACCGCTGAAATAAGTACACAGGTTTATGTTACCTATTCCAAGCCTTGTATTGACCCGCAGGCCACTAAACCAAGGCTGATTTGTGGGTGGTTTTGCAGGGAGAGCAACGAAGGATCCAGGAGATGCCTGCTACTGGTTCTAGTGTTAGGACTTTGTGCTCTTCTAGGATTGAGAGGACCCGGGAACAGCCTAGCTAGCTGGCAGGACCTTTTAGCTTTTACTGCTGGTGAAAGGGTCTGTACTCCGAGCAATTCATTCAAGCTGCTTCTGCTGCTAAGCCAATGGTTTTCAGAACAGCATACAATTCCTTTTTTTTTTAGGCAGTGCAACTCAAATAAGGTTTCCATTTCCTTGGATGTTTATGATGCCCCGTGTTGGCCCAATACTTATTTTCTTGACTTCTTTTTCGACCCAAACTGAAATATCTTTTACTGGACCAACTACGTAGATGGGAAAGAGGTGACTTGAAGAATAGCATTTTGTGCCCAAAACCTTGCCTGACTTCCTGAACTATATTGTTGGACCAAAAAAAGAAAAAGACGTTAAACAAATCCTGCTTCTCATTTATTCTGTAGACCAGTGGTTTTCAACCTTTTTTCATTTGCAAACTCCTAAAAAAATTCAAACAGAGGTGTGGACCCCTTTGGAAATTTCAAAGGGAGGTGCAGACCCCTCTGAATTGTACATGTGGGTATTCACTTACTTTTGATTGGTCATAGCCATCTTTTGCAGACCCCTTAGACAGTGTGCGAGCCCCAGGGGTGCAGACCACCGCTGGAAACCCCCTGCTGGAGCCCTTTACAGCTACAACACTGCCATCACTCTATTAGAGCACGACTCAGTCTTGATCCAATTGCCTGTCCGTAGCTGCATTTGTACTTTAATTTTTTATGATTGCTAGCTCAGTAGTTAATAAGTTTTTCATTGATTCATGATGCAGTTACCTCAAGGATCAGATTTTACACTATACATGACCTAACACTTTCATTACCTTTGTAACCATGAGCCAACATACGTATTCCTTTACTCATTCTCCTATAATTACATGGGAGGCGAAGGTTAGATTACCGCTAGGTATTGGGTGGGTTTTTATACTCCTTGCCAGTTGTTAATTTGCCCTTTGGTTCTGTTAGAAATTAGAAAACAGGAGAGAGCTATTACCTACTGTCCTCCAGGTGCCCCTGTCAGACATCTACTGACATGTGAGCACTGGCTTTCCAGTCACATTGCTCTTGTCTGTCTTTACTAGCAATACAGATTATCTCACACATCTGAGCAGTCTGTATTACTTCTCATGCTTTACTTGTTTGCTTTGGGGGACACGACCATTCCCTTACCTGGAACTTTTACCTGGCTTATAATTATTACCAGGAACGTTTGACCCGAGGCAATATTATTCCTAGCTTTTGGCCTCACTTGTGGTCCAAATCTCCAACGACATTTTAATTTTCCATTTTCTTTTGTAATCTATTCATTCCTAACTCACCTATCTTTATCCATCAAAATCCCCTAAGTATTGAGTTGATTCAATCCAGAGCAAATTAAGCTGTAAACCAGTGGTTCCCAACCTTCGCTAGCCCACAGGCAACAACACTAATCAGGAAACACATCACAGGCAACAGCGTGGTTTTACTTTCCTGATCAATCTCAGTTTTAAACATTTTAAGTTCTTGTGTCTGCAGCAATGTGGCAATGCCCATGGGCTGTATCATTTGTCAGACCCACTAAGCTTAAGCAGGATCAAAGCTTTCCAAGCCTAGGGAGCTGAGCACAGATCCAACCTTTACAGAGCTCAGAACTCGTCAAGGCCAGATACTCGTACAAAGTCTCCAGTGGTTTAGGACACGGCATCCAAGCCAGCTCCAGCCCATGCAGCAGTTTTTGCTGCGCAGTGAACTTCAAGAGGGGCCAGGGACTTGGGGCGAGGCAAGCAGGGGAGAGCCTGCCACTGACCTGGCGCCCCGATGGGAATATACACCGGCAGCAGGGAGGGCAAGTGATGGCTGCGTTAACCCCTGCACCATTGCCACTTGCCCCACAGTCACTGCTGCCATTCACCCCACTGCTGAGTCTGAATCCAGCCCAAGAAGCTCCAGGCAACCTGGATCTGGGTCACAAGGAGCCCCACAGTCCAGGTCCAGCTCAGGGGCACAGGAGAGTTTGACACCCCTGGCCTAGAGTATATAATGTAACGTGTGATGTGCTTTTATATAAACGTATACATATGTATCTATGAAGTCAGGACAGTCATAGGAATTTGTACCATAATGGTTTGTGTGACACCAAACCAAGGTGCATTTACATTTAAAATAATTTATTACCATATATTGTTGCAAGCAAGATGCTTCTTTAAAATAAACCCCAGCTGCTAGAAATTGTAGTGTACTTTATATGCAACAAATATGGTAATGACAGTCCTGCTGGCTGTGGAGCAGGCTCTACTCCCTTGCTGCTGCTCTTCAGTTACTCATTGCAAGGAGAATCTTTTTCCCTTCATTCTGCCTTTCATTAATCAAGTGTGCATGACATGTCAGCGCATGCTGTATGCAACAAAATACAGTATGCACACAAAGTGATGGACTGTTTTAATAAATATAGTCACTAAAATTATAATTCTATGCTCCCAAAATAGAGAACACCTGCCTGGAAAGGGGCACTATAATGCTCTGCCTGGGTAACTAATAAAAAGCCATTTTTATAAATAGTCTAAGTGTAAATATTCATTATAGAGCCTTAGCATTCGGGGTGGAAACTACCTGCATTGAATGATCTGGGCTCTGCCGCATTAATTGATGAATCGTCCACTTGGACCAAACGTTGATCTGAATGTCAGGTCTCGTTTGCACTGCTGGCAGACTCGGTGTAGGTCTTGATAGTCTCGGTTTTACTGTGCTCCATTTTTCACTGAGACGCTGCAGTGATAGTGTTGATACACTGCACAGCTGTCACAAGGTTTAATTTGCTCATTATTTCTACATTCTTTTTAATTTACATTCTTTAGATTCTTTTAATCTACATCTGAATTTTAAGTACTATGACTATACAGACCTCGGTGCCTTAACAGGATTAAAACTCTGGTACTTTAAAACCCCCCCCTGCGGATTTCTGTAATTAAACTAAAACAGACAGGAAAGTGTCTTCAGCTGCCCTGTCCTAGGAATGTGTGCACAGCAGCTGTGAAGTGAAATCCCAGGCACATCCAAGTGCAAAACCCACACGGACTCTGGTGGAGACAGAACTGCCTTTTGTTTAAGTGACCTGCAGTTGGAAGAGGTCTCTGAAATAGCTAACACCGCAGGAAGAACCAAGCATGCCACCATCTCTTTCTTGGTGTATGTGAATCAATCCCTTAATGTATCTGCTAGACATTTTTGTGGCCTACCTTATTTTTTTAGTTCTATCAAAAGAAAAAAGGAGTCTCAGCTGAAGACAAATTATTAGCAAATTAAACCATGTGACAACTGTGAAGTGTATCAACACTACTGCTACAACATCTCAGTGAAAAAGGAGTACGGTAAAGCTGTGAGACTAGCGAGGCCTGTACTGAGCCAGTCAGCAATACAGACGAGACCTGACATTCGGATCAACATTCGGTCCAAACGGACGATTCATCGATTAATGCAGCAGAGCCCAGATCATTCAATGCAGGTAGGTTGTAACCTGTCTAACAACAAGCTGCTTAGCTGTTTTGTTGTGGCTTTACCTCAAGGGGGGCCACCTCCCGCGTGAGCTGGACCTCAGCCCCGGTGCTGTGCGGCCTGTGTACCCCCCGGTGCAGAAACCTAACCTGCAATGCACCCAGAGTCTACTGCACACAAATAAAGACCTGTCCAAGTGAAGTAATGAATGTGAAGACTGACTCCTCCAGGAGGATTTCCTGCCAGCTGATCCTATAGCCAGTGATATCAACCTGCGCACGTTTTAATCCGTCTGTGTGTTCCCATAAAAGGTGTCTGGGTTCCTTAAACAAGCATTTTCACACACGAACACTTGGCCTTGGACTGCTGCCTGGAATAGTGCCCAATACAAAGGAGCGCCCAAAGGCATCTGATGGCTTGAGTGATCCCAGCTGAACGGGCCTGCAGAGAGATGCTGTTTTTTTACACTGGCAACTAAGCAGTCCAGGGAAAGGATCAAAACCATGGCAGCCACTAAAGACACGCTGGGGGAAAAAAGGAAAGTAGGAGATGGCGAAGAGCAGACTGAGAACCTGGGCATCCAGGTCCTGGGTACACAGCACAAAAGGCACCAAGAAAATGTCCAGATTGTGGGCAATGATGCAAGGGGTGAGAGACAGAATCACTATACCCGCAGGGCTCAGCAGCACTGCAAGAAGGAAGCTGGAACACATTTAGTGAAAAAGGCAGGGAGACAACTGCAAAAGGAGTAAGGTATCTGGCTAAGCATGCCCTTAGTAGACCCAAAGCATTGCAAAATACATATGCTACTGACAGCAGCTAACACCCATTCAACAGCTGCATTTTTAACCAAGGCAGTATATCAAATGACCGATTTGATATGAATGAGAAGACAGAGCAGACACCAATGGCCCTGCCCATCCTTCTAACAACATACAAGGGCATGTTGCAAGATAACAAATGCCTGGAGGACACGGCTGCACACTCAACCACAAGACTATTGAAAACACCAAGATCCCCTTGTCACAAAAGAAGAAACTGGCAAGCCTACAAAGAGGTGAAATCCTGACCTATACAACTGAAGCAGTTGTGAGGTGTGTAAAGATGAAAGGGAGACTCTTACTGCCTCCTGAAATCCACAACTGCCCCTGAAATAAGGCTGGAAGGGACCTGCTCACTAGGAGCAGGAGGAACAGAACAGGCAGAGCCCGTGACTGCCCTGTTAGGGAGATGCAGGTGGCCAACAAGGAATCGGCACCAGGAGGCTGAAGTCGCACGGCATGCCAAGCATCAATGCAAAGTGCTGGCGGGGGGAAGGGGGGGCCTTTCTGAATCTTGGTAAGTTCTTGTCTCAATGTCTCCCTGTGGCAAAGAGGCCCAGTGTAAATGCTCCTTGCGTGAACAGGATTTTCTTTTCCCGATTCGGAATTCGCTGCTGCTCTATTTCCACGAATGCCCCCTTGCCCTTCTCTTGCAAAACGGGAAGAAGAGAAGTTAGTCTACTTTCTGAATTCCATTCTCTCCTACTCTTGCATCTCCTTGCAAAGGTAATGGCGTCTCAGTCTTTCCGAACTCTCTTTACAGAGTCTCTGCAGTTTTCACAAGTTTCTCTAGACTTGACTCAACTAACAGTGTAACGGTAGCTCCAAATCTTGTCTCCTCACTGGGTATGGAATGAGAGTTGAACAATGAACATGCCAAGCGCTAGACTTAGGCCAGACCGGTTCTCCAACCACACAGTAACAGTTCAAATGGAAGCAGACAGGCTGCTCCAGACCAAAGACAAAGGTGGAGATGAAAGGAGAGAGAGCTGCAGAGTGGTGGCAGACAGCTAGCTAAGAAAAGCCTGGCCAAGGTCAGAACCAACGCGACTTAGACGTGGCCATGTCCATGTCCATGATCCAACCTGGTACAGAAGAGTCAGAAGCAGCAAGGATGGATTACACTCAGGTTACCAGTTAGTGACTTGAATCTATACATTTCTTTGACATATACAATTATTACAAATGTCATAAATGAACTTAGGACAACCAAAGCAAATGTTAAAGTGCTACCTCTGATGATCTGAAATATGAAGTATTTAAGTTCTTTTTGCTTTACTATTAGGGCCAGATTCACCTTATGGTCTGATTGCTACCCCACCCAGGGCAGTGTAGGGCACCATCTTAGCTGAAAGTAGCTTGGCTTCACCCTTTTGCAAGCCGCAGGAGGAAGCAAACATTTTAATGGGGGGCACCTTTGCTAGGGATTGCTGTAGTTTCAGTCCCGTGGAAAGCAATGAGAGAGAGTCTCCAAGTGAAAATACAGCAGTTCCTTTGTGAAGGATTCTGTAAAAGAAAATTTTTCAGCATCTCTGATGATAGACCAGCTTTTGGCTGCAAAGCATAATGCCAAAAATGCCAGCAAACTTAAAAGCAAGTCCTCAAGAGTGGGCTGCATACAAAGTTTAAGTGAGCTAACTGTATGGGAATTTCAAAGCTTTTTCATATTAAAAACAATTAAGAGAAAAAAAAGTATAGCAGTAACAGCTACATTTCTTCAAAGACCCATTTTTAACCAACTACAACTCAAACTAATGAATTTACTTGTACATTTTCTGCTAACCCATTCTGTATTCAAAAGGAGTAATCAATATCATTTGAAAGACATTTGCTGTATTCTTCAAAAACAAAATGATTAAATCCCAGCTTTAAATGCAAAATTTAACTCAGCCTTACATACAGAAGCAGATTTGAACTCCCTGCCCTAGTAAAGATGCACTTTAGTTCAGCCTCATTTCCAATCCTTTGTACTAGTTACTAATTTCAAGCGCTTGGCAGGGCTAACATCATGCTGACGCACACCTTCCCAGCACTGAACACATCAGTACAAGCACTACTTTCTGAAATACAAAGATAGTTATATAAAATCTGGCATTGGTATGCTACTCTAAGAAAGCATTTCTATTAAAAAATTAGCAGCATCTGGAAGTACCCTTTTTAAAGAAACAGGTTAGAAACAATTCAGCATTCAAGAAGATCTGTTTTCCATTGCCATGCATGAGAACTGGGCTCGAATCTTCAGTTTGAGAGCTATTTTATTTACTTGCTGAAACACATTGCATAACCGCTATTTAAGGATTGAAAGGAAAAAAGAAAAAGAAAAAAGCTTACCACTCACTATAAGACAGTCACATGACACATGAGGCAAAATGGCCTAATGACTCTGTTTCATCTTGTGGAAGAGAACACCAATACCAATGCTCAGACAGCAAATGCTATTTGAGCTATACAACTAGTATTCTATTGCCTCTGAACAATCAAGAGAAATTTAAGTTAACTGGATTTTGTAACATATGAGACTGAGGAGGATGGCAGCTCATGTTCTGCAAGCTACAAAGCAAATGCTACCCTGGAGTCATGATACATGCCTGCTCATTGTAATGACAGAACTAAAGATAATCAATCATGCATTCAATATTTTGTTGTACAGAGACATGAGAGTTGAAAGCAAATGTAAACTTACGTATGCTGGAGTCTCCAAAGCATCTGTATTCACCAGTACTGGAGGGGGATTTGCCTTTAAAGGAAGAATTTAAAAATATATGTTGTGAAAATATGACTCAGAGGCGGCAGTACAAAAGGACAATTAGTTTAATTCTTAACTTCCATATGATTTGCACCAAGCCCCGGAGTTGTTAAAAGGCACAGTCAAGGATGAGAAGCTCAAAATTTCACCTTCTTCAAAAAACAGCGCCTTATTTCATTTCCTTCCATCCGTCTGACCAGAACAAAGTGCTACCTTCCTACAAACTCCTAAAAAAGCTACCACATGCTTTAAATCAAACAAGCTAATCTGGTTATTTGAATTATTCAGCATTCTTTAAAGGAAAAATAACATCAAATCCAATCACTATGTCAGTTAAACAAACAGACAATTTCCATAGTTGAACTGTGTAAGACGTAACATTCACACATTAGCTTACCAACCCAAACCCTAGGTGTCATGCTCAATGGGTGCCTATTAGATGGAGCCATGGCTGTTCACTTTGACCTAAAACATCCTGCAGTAAACTGGCAGCTTCTGCAGAAAATGGAATCAGCAGGGATAAAATATGCAAACATCAAATTAGCTCTTCCACACCCATGGATAACGCTTCTATGAATATCACCTATTGTGAAGACAAAGGTCTTTGGGTAAATCTGATATCTTTCATTAGACCAACTCCAATAGTTGGACAAATTCTTCTTTGCAAGCTTTTGGGTATAAATACCCTTCTTCAGGCTAAGGAAGCCTCTTGCAGTTGGTGTGTACCTGGGGAGTTAGATGTTAGGTAGGTTATAATGTGTCATAAATCCAATGTTTATATTTAGTCCATGATTTTTAGTATCCACTAACCTACTGTGAAGACCTTAATGGATTTGCAGACAATTCAAAATACAGTTGGCATACTTTTAGATCTGCAGATTGGCAGCATACCATTAAACACAGGCCTCTTACTTTACAGCATCTATTTAACTACATGATTGACTATAAAGTACTATCTTTATGAGAAGACAATATTTTTATTATTATAATTTTAATGGCCAGAAGTTAAAGGACTGTAATAAAAGATCACAAAGTAAATGAATTATGCAGCCCTATGAGGATGTGAAGATTATCAGTCCATTCAAGTTTTGCATATCCTCCTCTGTATGCTATCATGAGACTTGCTTTAAAAACCTGCCTCTAAAATTAGTGGTTTAAAAACCCCATAAACTCTTTTTGTAGATTTGCTTTTAATCCACATGTATATGCTATTTATCATATTAAATGAACCAGAGACCCATCTATCAGAGCAATCCTGACAAACATCACACGGTACTTCATAGGCACTGCCACACCAAATGAGACCAGTGCTCAACTGAAGTCTAGCGCTGTCACAGAAAATGGCCAGCACCAGATTCTTCAGGCATGAAATCCCCATAAGAAACAGTAAGGTTGTGTGAAGCTTCAGTAGCCGATTCGATTCGGAGGAGATTTGGCCCGATTCAGGGACCAAATCTGCGAACTGAATGAGGAGATCAATTAACAGCTCCGAATCTATTTGAAGCATCCGAATCAATTAGGAAAAAGATTCAGAAAAGATCTGGCGATGTGGCCATAGACTAAGCAGGCAGCCGACACAGCGGCCTCCAGCTGGTAAGTCTGTTGGGGTTGGGAGGCAGAGCCTGGGGCTGGGACAACCTGCCCAGCCTGGGCAGAAGATGCAGGACTCGGGGAGGGGGGCAGGGTGGCGCGGGATGCAGGCATGGCAGCGCTAGGAGTGGGGGCTATGCCCTGCTCCTGCTTGCCCCCTTCCGCCCGGAGTGAGCTGTGCCTGCATCCCGCCCCGGCTGGGCAAGTGGCAGGAGGGCAGAGCCCCCACTCCTAGAGCTGCTGCGCGTGCATCCTGCACCCCCCTGAGTCCTATGCCCCCCGCCCTGGCTGGGCAGCTCATCCCAGCCCCAATCCCTCCCTCTGCCAACCCCAACAGACTTACCAGCTGGAGGCAGCTGTATCAGTCTGTGGCTGAATCTCTGAAGCAGCGCCAAATCTTTCAGATCTGATTCAGCCATATCAAATCAGGACAGCGATTTGAATCTCTGAATCAAATCCCTGTCCTCTGAATCAGCCAAATCCAAATCCAAAGTGAATACTTGCCACTTCGTATAGGCCTAATAAACAGTAAGAATAAAATTCTGCTACCAGACATGGGTTAGCAGTGTTGTATACACTGAGACTTTTCCAAAGATCAGACCGGACTGACTGAGGTTGGTAAATTGAAAAAAACACAACCAAAACAAAACAAGAACTAAATATTTTTCCTTCCTTCAAGAAGACAGCAAAGAAATTCAAGCAAGTACTATATAGCAGCAAATTACAAGTCACCAGAATCTATCATTCAGCAGCTGTCCCTAGACACACATGCCCCAGCCTGAAGCAACATGTAAAGCCAGGTGTTAGCAACTGCACAATGAAAAAAACTATTCAGAGAAAGTAGAGGATAAATGTCTCTACATAAACAGAGACATTTTTCAAATTAACTGATGTTTCCAGACCCAATTTTTTTTCCCAATTATATCTTATTTTAAGACAGTTTACAATTAAGAAGTAAGCACTTGCATAAAAAATTGTTAGGTAACAGATTAAAAGAGCTTTTGGCTCCACCTCTGAAATAGCTTACTATCTACAAGTATTTATGAAGAATACACCTGGATTTATTTTAGAAAGAAAGATAAGTTATGTGTTAGGCTTTAGAATAAAAATAATGCATTAAAATATGAACGCTTAGAAAATTATTTTCTATCTAATCTACAAGAAGCGGTCCCCACCGTCATGGCAGTGCTCATCTGTTCAGAGCACTCTGATTGGTTGTTTCAGTAAGCATTGTGATTGACTGCCGAGATAACCAATCAGAGTGCGAATAAAGAGTTACGGACAGATAGACAGACGAAGACTTTCATAATATTAGAACATTGGGAAACAAAGGACCTTCATTCATCCCTCAAGTTCAGCTATTTGTTCTTTACGTTTCATCCAGCACCTGGGACAGCACGTTGGACTGGAAATACTGAAACGTACACATTTACAAACTAGCAACGGAAGACATTTTCGCAGGTCTGTACATTAATTTGGAGGTAATAGATCAGTTGCTGCCATTTAACCAGTGAAGCAGCAATAATCAAATTGAAACAAAAGTTGTGGGGTTTGTCTACAAACTGACCAACAGAACTAATGTGGTGTAATCACGTCGCTTTAGATCAAAAGATACGCCTCCCCATGTGGACATGATTCCAGAAGGAGAATCGTAACTCCCTGTACAGCTTATGTCACAGAAGCTACTAGTTTATATTTTGAAACCATTCCTTATTTTATGTGCAAGACAGACTATAGAGCAGGCCGTGTTCGTGCCAGCAACGGTCACTAAAAAGACAAAGTAACTGATTAAAAATTGTGAGTGAATTTTATATACAAAGCAGGTAAAGGGAAAACAGCTGCAGTCAGTCTTGGGTTGCAATATTTTTTTGCCAGATTTATTCCATCTTCACAACAGGTCAGAAGGGACCATTCAATTATCCAGTCTGACCATTTGTACATCATATGCCATTAGGTTTCCTTTGAATAGCCCTATGTTAGCTGTAGTACTTCAGTCATTGTGACGCTAAAATGTGCGCTACAGTCAGAGAAAAGGAGAGATCATAGTGCCCCAATGCCCCAGCCTCAAGCAGTGGTAGGGAACTGACAACCTGAGACACACCAGTTAGCCAGAATATGTGAACCAGGACCCCTGCAGCAGAGCAAACAGAAGAGCAAGGTCCCTGCCACCCAAAAAAGCTTCTAGGTCCTAAAATTGCACCCAAGCGACCGACAGACAAGGACTCCCAAAGCGAGTTAAGCACATCTACTCATCATGTTTCTACGAATCCTACTGGATTCCTACTTGCATCCTCAGGGGCCTGAGTACCGTTATCATTTTAACAGCTTTTTGTACATAAACATTAGTATGGCAAAGTACAGTGTAATATTAAATTAGCCTTTGCCATTGTGTTTCCAACCTCTAACTATCTGGGTGCAGAATCATAAAGACAGAGAACTGGAAGCAACCTCCTAAGGCCATCTCATACAACCCCTTGCCTGAGGCAGGAGCGTCTCTAGCCAAACCAGCCCATACGATCCACTGTCTAACCTCTTAGCAAAACTATACAGCCAACCCTGACATAACACAAGACATCACACCCCAACCCGCCACAGGTAAAGTCAGGGGACCATGGCAGCCAACGTCCAGTTTCTGTAGAAGCTGTTAATAGACACTCAAGAGACCTGAGGAAGAGGGCCATGCCCCCCGCTACAGAGGAAGGCAAAACCCCCACCAAAAACCAATTTGACCATAGGGGTAATTTCCTTCCTGACCCCAAGTATGGCAACTGGTTAACCCCAGAGTGGAGAGCCAAGACCGTCTAGCTAGGAACCTCCACCTTTAAGTCCCAGCAAAAGCACTGGCACAAGATCCCCAATCTTTGCTGCAGCCAACACCCAATGCCTCTGAGGAAGGCTTAAAACACCCCTGACACATGGAACAGCAGGGGGTGAGAAATTGCCTCCCAGCCCCATGCAGCAACCAGCAAAGTCCAGCAGCCTGGGAAATCCCCATCGCAGAACACAGGCATCGCTGCACCTCGATCATCCCCAACCAGTGGCTGTCCAACCTCTTCTTGAACCCCTCCAGTGATGGACAGTTCATAATTTCCATAGGAAGGTACCTTACATTTTGAATACACTTATCTCTCCAGTGTGTGTTCAATTCAACGTTTATTTAGCTTGTTATCCAGTACCATTCAAAATGTGAACAGTCACAGGAAGCGTGTGTTAGGTAACCTTTGCTTCTTACAGTTGTTTTGCTATAGTAGAAGATTCAGCACTTTTCTTTAGTTTCTCTTTAGCAAGTCAGGCAATCACAGAGAAAAAAAACCCGGAGATACAGGGTGCATCTACACGTGCCCCTACAGCGCTGGTGTTACTGTGCCACCATTTAGTACTTCCTTTTGGCCGTCTGTGCCACTGCCTCGCTGTTCTAACACCGAAGAAGTTTTTTCCTGATCTCCAGTCTAAACCTGCTTTGCAACTCCAGTGGCAACTTCAAGCCAACGGTCCGTTTCCTGCTCTCGATAGCAAGAGAGAAAAGTTGTTCTCCCTCTTCTTTATGGCAGCCCTTTAAGTATTTGCAGATTACTATCAAGGTCCTTTCAAACCTTTTCTGCAAGCTGAGCATGCCCAGCTCCTTCAGCCTCTCTTCATGTGACTTTGTTACCTGCCTCCGGACCCTCTAACTTCTCCATGTCCTTTTTAAAAAGTGGAGGTGAAAACTGGACACACTGCTGCAGATGAGTCCTAACTGATGTGGAATAGAGAGGCACTGTCACCTCCCATCTTGCACCTAATGCTTCTGTTGGTGCATACAAAACTGCACGCGCCTTTAGTGTGACTACATGCAATTGTTCTTAGTAAGTCCATGTTGACTGCTTATCAGCCTTTTTTCCTCCACATGCTTGCAAGTGTCCTTGCTCAGGATATGCTCCAGTAACCTCACCCCAGGTATTGAAGTGAGGGTACCTGTTTTGTCATTTCTCAGATCCTCTTTTTTGCATTTTTTTTTTAAAGAGGGGCACTGCATTGACCCTTTTCCAGTCCTCTGGTACTTGACCCATCTCCTGTGACTGATTGCCAAGGGTTCAGAGATCTCCTTTACCAGTTTCTTTGGGACCCTGGGATGAAGCCCACCCTGCCCTGGTGATTTGAATTCATTCAGACCCATCAACAGCTCTCTTGACTGCCTCTGACGTGGTCTCATCCCTCAGCTTGCTCCCTTCCTTAGCCAAATAATCCTTATTAGGTGTCTGGCTGCAGCTTAACTTTTTTGAGAAGACTGAAGCAAAGCGGCTGTTGAGTAGCTCTGCCTTGTTTGCACCTTTTGTTAAGAGTTCTCCCTGGCTAGTTAATGGAGGACCCCCAGCTTCTGTGCTCCTTTTCTGGCCAGCATACTTGAAACCCTCTTGTCTTCAACCTCTGTTGCCAGATGCAGCACACACTGTCTTTGCCTTCCTGATGTTGTCCCTGCAGGTTCTTGCTGTTTCCTGGAACGTGTCCTTGGTGACCTGTCCCTCTTTCCATTGCCTCTATGCTTTCCTTTTGCATCTGAGGCACCTTGTGCTGCCACACTGGTCTCTTGCCGTTCTTCATGTGCTTCCATCGTGTCAGAACAGTTCCTTGTTGGGCTTCCAATACTGTGCCCCTTAAGGTCCCAGGCCTCCTGGGCACCTTTATTCTTCGGACAGCGTTCCCATGGCACCATGCCTGTTAACTCCTGGAGTCAGGTGAAATCTGCCTGTTTGAAATCTGGCACCTAGTTTTACTGCTCTCGTGCTTTCCCCGTCACAGAATCTGGAATCCTAGCGTACTGTGACTGCTTCCTCCCAAGCTGCCCATCACCTTCACATCCTCCACCAGTTCTTCCCTGTTGGTCAGGACAAGATCCAAGATAGATGATCCCCTAGTTGTATCCTCAACCTTCAGGAACAGAAAGTGGTGCTTCACACAAGTTGGGAACCAGCTCAAGATTTTATGTCTGCCTGCACTGTTTTTCCAGCAGTTGTCCAGAAAACTGAAGTCTCCCATGAGTATCACCTCCTAGCTTTTGGATAGATTTGGCACTTCCTTGAAGAACGCTTCATCCACCTCCTCTTCCTGATTTGTTGGCCTGTAATAAATCTCCGCCCATGCTGGTTCTGCATCTTTCACCTTTCATCTCCACCCAGGTGCATTCTGTTCTGCTATCGTCTTCCTCCTCAACCAGGGAACAAGTGTATGCTTATGTGACATCCGGGTGACACCCCCATCTTTTCTCCCAACCCTGTTCTTCCGAAACAGAGTGAAACCGTCGGTGCTGACGTTCTAGTTATAAGAGCTGCCCCACCACGTCTCTGCGATACCAGTCGGGTTGTAGTTCTTTACACAGGCTGCAGCTTCCAGGTGTTAAACGGCATTAGACCTGCATTTGCAGTTCACAGATTCACAGCAGTTTAGGGCTGGAAGGGACCTCGTGAGTCATCGGGTCCAGTTCCCCTGCTCTGGTTTCAGTCAGTCTTAAATTGTATCTTTTTGATAGATTTGTATTTGCTGGAATAAAATTGCCCTGCTCAAAGTGTTACCATCACTGCATTATGTCCAGTGCCTTGTTTCAGAAAGCTGCAGTGGTGTGGATTAGACCCTGGCTTTGATCTTTCATTATTTTCAGCACTGTCCCTTAGCACTTTGCCATTCTTTTCTGCATTAAACAGAAGAATAAGATTAGTAACGTAGTCATCATTACTGTTGCTATGATGACATGTGTCCCATTCTGTCTTTTGCTTCTTAACAGCTTGTGTGTCTCAAAGGTACAACTTATGAGTTCATACAATAAATACAGTAAGGCATCCTCTTCCTTCTTGCTGCCAAAACCCCAATGCTGATTTTAGAGCAGATAAAATAACACCATCAATAAGTACACAGATGTTTTCCTGTAATTACATTTACATGCCCTGTCCTTCTGTAGGGGGAGCTGCGGGCCCTCCGTCACTGGAGGTGTTCAAGTGGAGGTTGGAGAGCCGCTGGTCGGGGATGCCATGCCTATGTTCTACTATGAGTATTTCTCATGCTTCTGGGCTTTGCTGGTTGCCCTCCTTCCCCTTCCCCCTCTCCCACAGATGTAGTTTTTAAGCCTCCTCCAGAGGCACCTGGGGTTGGCTGCAGCCCAGGCTGGGGATGGGGCTGGGCTGTGCCAGCGCTTCTGCTGGGATTTAAACTGGGAGGTTCCTGGCTAGAGGGTCTTAAAGCTCTGCTCAGGGCTGGACTGATGCCTTCTCTGGCGTCAGGAAGGAGTTCTACCCCATGGTCAGAATGGTATGGACTGTGAAGTGGGGCGGCGGGGGAGAGGAAAAACCTCTACCTGGGATCTCCTGAGTGTCTATTAAAAACCTTTTATAGAAGCAGGACATTGGCTGCCATGATTCCCAGGCTTTACGTGTGGCAGGTGCAGATGTTCCATCTTGTGCTGTGTTAGGGTTGGCAGTAGCTTTACAAAGAGTTTATATTATGGATTTGGATAGGATGGTTTGGATAGAGATGATCCTGCCTCATGCCTGGGGTTGAACTAGATGACCCCCTTCCAGCCTGACTTTTCTATAGTCTAAGATCTGCCAAAGAATAATGGGAATAGTAAACAGCTGTGAAATATTTCATTTCACCATTTTCTAAATGTAATGTTTCAATTTTTCATTTCAAAACCAGAATGTTTCAATGATGATTTTTTTGAATGAAAGAAAAAGGTTAAAAAAAAGGCTAACCAACGTCAAACCTAATCATGGTGTTTAGTTCCAGGTTGAACAGAATTTCTGAAAATGACCTGTAATATTACTACATTTAACTGCATATCATGCACCCCGCAGTCAGCCCTATGACACTGGGGTGTGTGTCTTAAGCAGGGAAGTTGTTTTTATTCGCTGGCTGTAGCGGCTGTCTACATGGCTGCTGCTCTTTCTGGGCCCGGCAAGTCAGTGGTAGCTCTCACAGTTGCTCCTGGTTGAGTACCGTCACTTGTGCCCAAAGCCGAGACTGAGCCGGCTCAGGGCAAGTGAGCTGCTGCAGGCAGTCTGCTGTGTCGTGATGCAGTCTGCGTTATGGAAACCACACTTCACTATTTACCAGAGCTTGCATCAGGAGTATTTACAATAGAGAATGACAGTTTTGCTGCTGCCCCTGCCAGGGTCGAGGGCCTGGTCTTGTTGCTGTCCTGCCGCACTAGGAGCTCCTGCTGCCTCATGGAGACTGTCTCCTGGGATGTCACACTGAACTACGGCTCTCCCTGTTTCCAGGAAGATATGACGCACAGGACTCTGGAAAAATCTTTTTTCCCCTACATGCTCCCTTTGGAAACAAGGAGGCACCTTATTTGCAGGTGTGCAGTATGCATTCTCCCCATTTCACCAAGCAGCCCAACACATTTCTATTCATGTGAACATGAACATTTTCTTTTCAAAATGTTTTTGGTCTGGCTACTGATCTGAAAAAAACATTATTTGCAAAAGTTACTACAACAGGTATGAAATGAGCTAGAAGTGTATCAACAGCAACGGCAGGGAATAGACTTGCCAGAGCAAATGGTTGGTGCTTCGCTATACCTGTGGGAACAGAAGACTAATGGAGCAGAGATTCCTGGAAATATTAAGACTTAGAACTTGCAAAAGCGTATGCATATCCATAACCTACACTGTCTTTTGTAAGTACAATTTAGTTGTACAGGAAAGTATAATTCAGAAGGGACAACCCCGTAAAAAGACTGTACACAGTATCAACAATTAAAAATGTTATGTTTACAGTTACAAAAAAAAAATACAATGCTTCCTATAAACCTATACGTGGATTATTTATTTAGGTACTTTACCAAACTTGCATGCAATGATGGAAAATGTTAGTCAAAAGAACAGCAATAAATTAAATAGAAATGGGAAAAAAAGAATAAAAACCTGTTGTGCGGAAGATGGGCTGACAGTGGTCTCAGCAGGGACGGGCGGGACAGGGATCACAGGGACAATGGGAGAAGAGGGAGGAACAGCTTCTGTTGGCTAAAAATCATCAATGGAAAAATGTCAAGAAAATAATACAAACAAGGAAAATGAATTACATGAAAAATTTTGCATAAATCAAAACAAAATGTAATTCAGCCATTTTTGATCCAGCGCATTTTTCGACCGAATTGAGAGGTTAAAAACAACTAATAATTAAAGGTGATACCCTGAAAACAAGTACAGGAACCTGCTATCATACATTAGCTACTCAAGTGTGGAAGATTCCCTCTGCAGTCACCCTGAAGAGCAGCGAGTACCAGAGGCTTACTGGCCTCACCTTGCACGCTCACGCACAACATGCTTAAGGTATGAGCCAAAAGCCCACTGAAGTCAATGGGCTCACGGGCAGCTGAAGCGCTGCCATACAGCGTGGAGAAGGCAGAAGGGAGCCGGCTGCCAGACTGGACAGCTACTGCTTCTCCTGCTAACGTCACAATTGGAGCAGGCGAAAGTTTCACACTCAGGGAACACACCAGGGTGCTCGACCCCCCACCCCGGGGACACATCCAGCCCCTGACATCGTGCCATCCAGCCTGCGGGCTCCCCATGGGTCTGAAAATTTGGCAGCGAGGGAGTTGTGGCACTGATCCCCTGCTGTCACTTTTCCAGACCCGTGGGGATCCCTGCAAGACAGACAGCATGGCCCTGGGCATGGGGCCTGATTCCAGCACCTGGGGCTGGGCGGGGAAAGCAGGGAGCCCCACGGCCCAATCCTGGCATGTGGGGACCAGGATCCTGGTGCGCAAGGCAGGATCTGGCCCACAGACCTGCCCTATGCCATTCCTTTGGCCCCAAGGGGCTAAAAGTCTGAGCAGGGCTGGTAGGGATAGATGGTACCAATACGAACTGGATCAAGGCACAAGCTGCTACGTGAGCTCTGACGTCTGTGTGATGCTGTAGCAACACAGGCGCAGCGAAAGGGCTGCAGCTTCCACCCTGGTCCACCCCGGGGTGACGTGCGGGCAGTTTAGGTGGCCTGTGTTGCTACTGGGTCCGGCAGCAGTCACAGTCCAGTCCCGTGCAAAGGCTGCCGCAGCAGCCGCCTGAGCAGCTGAAACGGCCGTTCCCCTGTTCCTCCGACCCCTGTCAGTCACACAGGCACAACTCCCCGGGGCAGTGTCATCCCACCTGTGTCAAGGGGCTGGGCTGGGTTTGTCAGACTAAAGCAGAAGGCTCAGCACACTTTTGTACCACTGAAAAAGGAGTCGTGCCTGGGGGCTGCATCAGCCTCACTAACGTGGTGCAGGCACCAAGTCACGTGGATCCGAGAAACGCACAAGCCACAGGACATGGGAAGGTGCAGGCTCTGGGCTAAAATTTTGTGGACTTAATTTTTAAAGCTGTATATTTTAAAACATTTTCTCACCAACAAGCAGTCACTACAGTCACAAACCATTACAGGCAGCATCCATTAAAATTACTGACCTGCATCTGAGCAGACCCAAATTCTTATGATGTAATTGTACCTGAAAACATTTTGGGGATAGTCCAGCACACGGAGAATAACTTGGGGTTTAACAATGAAGAACTAGAAAAATATCTGTAAACTATTTTTAAAAATCCTTTAGAAAGCAAAAGCAGAACACATCAAAATTACCAAGGTCTTTTAAAAATATTTCTCAGTTTTTGTAATTATGAATTTTTTTTTTTTTATTACAAACCAAGATCAGAGGAAGGAATGCTAAGACTCGGTCACTGGTGACATGCTCTTACTTGCTTTAAGCACATGGTATTATACACTGTTGCTCTGCACAGTCACTTCACTCAGAATGAACACTATTGAAAACCCAGGACGATTATTGGAAAGAATATATAAAACAAACGAGTACTTAATATCTTAAGGGACTGTCTCCAAATTGTTCTATAAAAGGCTGTATGTCCCTACAGCTGTAAACGTGAGGTATTACCATTTCTTAAAAGTTGCATTTTAGCCATGAAACTACATTAGCCTGAACGTTACAGGCACGGAAATGTTTCCCAAGCAGTTTACAAACAGTGCATTCAAACTCAAAGGGCTGGGTGATCTTTCTAACATCTAGCACCTCTGCAACAGTAGCAGACAGCTAAGGGGTCTGGGGAGCTGCACCGCTGCCGCGTGCACGGTGCTGGTGGCCTCTTCGGTCAACTTCACTCCATTTAAAACTGAGTGAAGCTGCAGGGATGTGCAGAGACAAGCCTTTAACTACAGTTTATGCCAACTTCATATTATAACCAAAGAATATGTTAAGCTACGAAGTCAAGCACTCGAATTGGAAAACTCCATAATTAAAGCTCTGGTTCATTTTTTCTCAACAGGTCTGTGTACACCTATGCATTATTTCCCCTATTTTTGAAAAAGGAAGCAAAAAACCCTTCACGTGGGATCAAACTGACTCCACGTGAGTTATCGAGGGATAGACAGCCACCAACCTGCCCCGACTTAAACAACGAGTACTCGCAACAGCCTGCCGCCACCTGCCCGGCACAACCAGTCTGCATCTCCCACCCCCATCCCAGCAACCA